GCACACGAATCATTTTGCAACGCAAAAGATGCCTTATCCAAAGTCACTATGCTATCCCATATCAACCCCGAAGCGTCGCTTATTTTGTGCACAGATGCCTCCCAAGTAGCTGTAGGGGCAGTATTACAACAAAAGATGAAGGGCGAAGTCACCCCACTCGCATTCTTTTCTAAGAAGTTGGAACCGGCTCAGACACGATACAGCACTTTTGGGAGAGAATTGCTGGCCATATATCTTGCAGTGAAGCATTTCAGTTACTTACTACAGGGCCGGCATTTCACTATTTTTACTGACCACAAGCCCCTGTGTCATGCTTTCACTACTTCACTCGATAAACACTCCCCTAGAGAAGCCAGACAGTTGGATTATATCTCCCAATTTTCAACCGACATTCAGTACATCAAAGGGGATGCGAACGTGGTAGCCGATTCTCTTTCAAGAAGTGACATTAACCAGCTTCAAACGTCGGTAGACATCAGTCTTGATCGTATGGCTCAATTACAAAGAGATGACGTTGAACTCCAAACCTGCCGCAGAAACTCTTCCTTACAGCTCAAAGATGTGCCTATCCCCTTATCAGATGCAACCATAGTCTGCGATGTATCTACCGGCACTAATCGTCCATTTGTCCCTCTCAGTTGCCGAAAAGCATTGTTCGAACATTTACATTCGCTTTCTCACCCTGGAGTACGCGCCACGGTCAGACTGATCAGCGAACGCTTCGTGTGGCCTAAAATGAACTCTGACATTCGGAGATGGGCACGAGAATGTATCCAATGCCAATGCTCCAAAGTACACCGCCACACTATTACAACCCCGAAGACGTTTGAATTACCCGAAAGGAGATTTCAGCATATCCATATAGATATCGTGGGACCATTGCCAACATCAAGGGGATATACACATATCCTGACAGCGATTGATAGATTTACTCGTTGGGCTATTGCATGCCCCTTAAACGACATATCTGCTGAAAACGTTGCTTTAGTTTTTCTCGACCGTTGGGTGTCAAACTACGGTGTACCAACTACTATTACATCCGACCGCGGTCCTCAATTCCAATCGACACTCTTTCGCGAACTGACGAGACTTCTGGGAGTGAAACATATCTCCACAACAGCCTATCATCCGGCAGCGAATGGTCTAGTGGAAAGATTCCACAGACAACTGAAAAGCTCCCTGATGGCGCAGAATGATACATCTAAGTGGAGTGAATACTTACCTTTGATTTTACTTGGTATCCGATCTACTATCAAAGAAGATTTAGGATGTACACCGGCTCAACTTGTCTATGGCACCAACCTAACCTTGCCTGGACAGCTAGTCCCCTCAGCCGATTCCACAGACGTGAACATTGCCGACTTCACTAACCGATTAACTAGACAAATGCTTCAACTTCAACCAACAGCACCTCGACAATCTCCCCGACGAGATCAGATCAACAAACATCTACAAACTTGCAAATTCGTCTTCATTCGAGTCGACGCCATCAGAAAAGGATTGCAACCTCCATACGAAGGACCCTTTCAAGTTATTAAACGTTCAGACAAACACTTTACAGTGAACAAGAATGGAAAACGAGAGACTATTTCCATTGATCGAATCAAACCCGCATACACCGACAACGACTTCGAATCTACATCGGCAACTGCGCAATCAAATAATCAAACATCCGATTCCCCTCCACCGGCACCAAGTCTTATCCTCCCTCCATATCACACACGTAGTGGTCGGCAAATCAGTAAACCGGCTCGCTACGTTCATTTTGAGGACTAAAAAAAAAATTAAAAATTATTATTATCTTTTTCGTTTAGACATTATCATCATGACCGTTAGTATTTCGTCGTAAACTTTGATGTTACTATCACTATTATTTATTTATATGTACCTCACCTAAAAAACAGGTATCGTCCTTGTCAAAAACTATTGATCTTTAATCCATATTTTTTAATGTTTTCTTTCCCCTCCTTAATTACTGTGTATTTACATATTTTTCTTTATACATTAAAAATCTATGTTCATGGTTAGTGCAAATTTAAGTGACATGACTTTCTATTTCAATTTTTATTGCTGAACTAATTGTATATGCTTTCAGACTTTACATGATTCACATACCTTCTCGCGTTTATGCATGTTGTAATATATCCCTATTTTTATCCGAAAATTGTTATTACTATTATTATTTACTTCACAGTTTTACTTATCATTTTCCGGTTGTCTCTCCGGACCTCTAGGGGGGGAGCCGTGTGGAGTACGTAACAATGTGATTGTACACTTTTTGGTTATTTGTATAAATTCGAGATATTGTACATAATTTTTGTTTAAATCGCTTCTTGTTGAAATATACATAACTTCCGTGTACAATTGAAAAATACACTCTGCTGTTGGAGACTTCGTCTTCTCCCTGGTCCCTTCTGCTTACTTGCTCCACTCACACCGTGTTGTATACTTCGGATTTATTGTAGGAGCCTACTACTCTCAACCGAAGACATTTCTACAACCGGAACACAGCAGCTACAGCAGACGCAACTCAATCAATTAACGTACCCGTGGATTATATACATAATTTGTAGCAGAGGACTTAGACTTTATATCCAAGTAATCCTTTTTGTTGATACAACTCGTCACTGCATTTTTTGGTAATATATTGTTATTTAACACTCCATTGACTTGGATTATTATTCTTATATTTATAATGTTAGTGAACTCTAGTATAAGTCCCCTACAAATCAGCTGACGATGGGGAGCAGTAGAAATAAATACATAGTAAGAGTATACTTTAATGCCGCATATATTAATGGGGAGGAATTAGCATCAGATAGCTTATATATATATATATATATATATATATAGTAATCCTAGATAACTAGTCAATTAATACAAATGGGAAGCTTGAGTTATATTTGGGAATAAATTAAAATGTGTCACTTCGCACTCTGTACATTGGCCAAGCCCTAGAAAGCTATTGCATAAACCATGTTGGAGGTTATTAGGAAAGCAAAAAGACTTATGACATCACTTTACTTTGACAGCGAGGGAAAAGTTTCACATAGACAATGGCGAAATTCGGAATCTTTGCAAGTGCATGATTGATAAAAGCCGAATAAGATACGACAGACAGTTAATATTGGACTGTTTAGGCTGTCTCAATAAACTGATTTCCTTTACTAAACAAGAACTAAAACAAGCAGAGATATGCTGTCACTAATAAACAATACGAGTGAAGCAGACAAATCAGATTAAGTGAAAGCTAAGAAACTTTATGAGTAATTCTGTGATGTTTTCTCGTCTTACCGTGATACCTAGGTGTTTACCGAAGTCACTGTTATCGCCACTGAAGCATCATCAATGATGGTAGATAACAGGGTAGTTATTAAACAACAGTCTAAGCTGAAGCCAGGTTAGTCACCGGGGTCTGATAGACTCAACCCTAGACTTTTAGTCCTGCTGGTGGATATAATATACATAGCACTTACGCAGAACTTTAGAATGTCTCTGGCTCAGGCTAGATTGATCAGGAACCGGAGAGGTGCAGTGTTTCTTTCCATCTTCAAAGAGGGGAATAGGCGGTTGGTATCTAACTACAAGCCTGTAAGCCTGGCAAGAATAACAGCAAAGGTATTAGAAATAATCGTAAGGAAGCAGCTATAAGCTTATATGGGAAAATGTGGCTTACTGACGGAGGAAAAGCACTGATTAAGACCAGGACGATTCTGTCTAACAAACTTACCGTTAGGTAGGGAAAACTGGGTAGGGGCAAGAGATAAAAAGCTAACGTTCGAAGTTGTTTCTGTCGATCGTAGTAAAGCACTCAGTAAAATGTGCCATTTAGGTATCTTCAGTAAACCAAAAGGTTTTGAACTAGACTAGTGCCTGTGTGAGTTGATTAGGGACTATCGTTTTGCGTACAGGGCAAAGACTAAGGGTTAATGAAGTACTTCCAAGGGGGAAAACAGTATCGAGTGGAGTACCTAAGGGAACCACACTAGGCTCCTTGTTTTTCTTAGTATAAGTAAACGAACTTCTTAAAACTCTTGCCTTATATTTACTATTATTTACAGACTATATTGAGATCTGGAAAACTGTAAATAATAATAAAGATAGGTCTCTCCTACAATGTGATGCAAATAAACTAACTGAATGGTCTAACCTCTGGAGTTTGGGAACTTATGGCAGAAGAAGCGCAGTAAGACATTCTGGTCAGAGGTCTTACACGTTGAACTTCCTGAGAAACACAGTAATGCCCGATTTTAAGTGGCAAAAGGACTTCGAAATTTTGTTGGTCATGATTTAAAATCAACTGCACACTGTAATGCAGCTGCAGTTAGGGCTTTTCGAATGATATGGGCACTACGACGGGTTTTCAAAAGATTCAGTGAACTGACATTCAAAGTACTCTACGTGAAATATGTCATACTTCATCTAGAATACTTTATACGAGTGGATAGTCCATGATCCAAGAAGGCATGTATTTAGGAAAGAGTACAGAGGGTGAGAATCTAAATGGTTAGTGGTATTTCACACCTTTCTTATTAGAAGAGGATAGAGCACTTAAATCCATTCCCAGTGTCATACAGAAGTAAGACAAGTGACCTAATTTCGGTATATGGCATATTAAATGGTGATTTGAGGGATTGATTCATTTACTCGTGAGCATCCCTCTAGCATACATTAATGAGGTCACCACAAAGGAGTGCTTGAACCACGGATGAATAAAACACCTGTGGAATTTAAATGTTCACATAGTAGTCAACAGCTGAAACTCATTACCGAGCCACTTATTGTCATCGGTAACGGTGAAAGCTTTCAAAGAGTTATTATATATCTGCAGAGATAAACACTGCAAGGATTCAAAAAAGACGCAACAGACTACTACCCTTCATTATATGAACCTGAAACCTAGGCCTTTGTATGGAAGGCAATCATGTAATCAATAATAAAAAGCACATGCATGCGTCACTGAGGACATTTTAGCTTGAATCCAAGACCTATAACACTACCTTTCAGGTCCGACCACTCCAACTCCCCCGTGTTCTAGTAGTTTGCTTAAGGAAGCGATTTCTTCTTTGAGTTGTTTAATGGTTTCATGAGCTTTGGTTTCGCGATCTGCTGCCGCATCAACCATTTTCCATGCTTGTTCTATTTCCCGTTTTAAGTACGCCATATTGTTCTGGTCCTCGCTTGAAATTTTTGCTGCTTGTGACACTTTGGCAGAGTTTGAAACTATTTCAGCTTTCAATTCACGGCATTTTCTCATTAGCCTCTTTTCATTATCATGAGACCTGAAAAAGGCCTTCATTAACTTCTCATATTCATCCTTAAATCTTTCTAGACCTTTGTTCCCCTGTAACTCTTTAAGAACCTACGAAAAACATGATACGATAAGTATAAAGCAACATTTATCTACTTCATCAAAGTCGTTTTTAAGAGCATCAAAGGTTGCATCGTCTACTGCTGGTTTGATGACTACCTTTGAAACATCAGCCTGAAACTAATTATATGAGGCAAAATAATTTACATCGGGTGCATTTATTTGCTGACTCATTTTACAAACTTTATTTCCCTTTCGAAATTTCACATTCCGTAGTCATACAAACAACCTCGAATTGATTATTTTAAACACTCGTTGAATTTGTATCCATTTTTGGATAAGTCTACAGGAACTGCATAATTTTCCGGTGCTGACTCACATTTATCTGTCTCCGACAATGGAGCCATCCATTTTTCTACGTTGTATTTTTATGTATGAGACATCTACAAACAACCAAATTTTTCCCTTCACTAGATTAATCTATTTAATTCAGTCCTATATCCACATGTGACAATAAATCATTTAGAAATCCAGCATTCCTTTTATGACCTTGTGTGCAACAAATAAATTTATTTTCACATTCCTGTTAACCATATGGACAGTTCCTGAGTTCTAGCGGAAATTTTTGTCTTCAGTACATCAACCTGCTACCATTGATCGCCACCACTGTCAACTTCTAACAGCTGTCAACTTTTAACAGCATTTGTACCGGTAAATCGTATCATACGGAGGTAGAAGAAGTAATAGCGTTGACGAAAACTACAGAGATAATGAAAAGGGTACTAGAAGACTAGGAATGTATGGATTTCAAGGACCTTATTGTTCTCAGGATGCAATCAGGTGTTTACACGCTGAGGCTGTGGACGTTCATGGGTAGAACTATGTATACTAACTCAAGATCTAGCACCATAAACTTCTATAGCATTCGTTTGGCGTGGACAAAAAGCAAGGCAAAACACCGGACTTGATCGGCCAAATTATGAATCGCATTTCGGAACCAAATAGGAATGCTAGATGACTGCTTAACTAGCTAGCGCTCGTGCACAAACGAACTTGACACGACAGCGTACTAAATGGCGTGGACGCTTGTTGGTAAGCCTTCAGCTAAATAAATCGACTTAAACAGTGAGGGTCAGCACCCAATGTTCAGTGATGGACGCTGTGGCCAATAATTCTGGGGAATTACCTACCGCTACAGCTCACTACCCCCCTAATTGGGTTGTGAGGGCCCTAAGGCGAAAGCAGCCAGAAGTAAAAGCCTATTGGCGTTACCGTCAGTAAAATTCTTCTGATCGGCTTAATGGATGGCTTAATGGCCGTCTGCCTAGGTTAAGTGAGTGCGTGTACACCGCTTCGTTTGTGTTTGCCCGCTGGATCTCGTGCTTCGTTTACTTCTTGTCCAGTACCTGTAGCATTCGGAAAGAAAGCAAGAATTCTGAGAGCCTTGTGGGGAAAAATGTACCAAAATAATGTTTGAATAATGATATACATCTACCATACAGAAAAATAACGCGAAAAATAGAACATCGATAAAGATACATATACTTTTTTGGTGGATGTAACGTGTGAGATTATAAAACATTTTTCACTTCCGTTGCCGGATGCTATGAAAAAATTAACATGCCTGAGAGGAAAAATATATGTCACAAGCGAGTAAAAATTGGGTGAGTAGCATCATTTAGTTATGTAAGATAAGTATGAAGGTGCTTTGGGAATCTCATGGCTCGTCCAGAACACGTTTTCTTCGGGGCCTCGACAGAAGGTTCGGTGGCCTTTGTAGCGCTACTGATTTTCTCAGGGACCAACAGATTTTCGGTTACTTTTGTACCGTAGGGAATGATTAATCCGAGGCTGGTGGAATTGCATTCTAAGTGTACCAGTTTCAGAAAATTGGTGCTAACAGATTCTCCGTGACAAAAAATTTATCCATACGTTTAATGGCTCTACATGCTCTGTAGCTTGGAGGTTCCAGAGGGTAACGTACAGAGTCACGACGAACGAATACATGAGTAGGAGCTTTCAAACTTGGGTGGACAAAGATATGTATGGACTGTGGTAGGAGGGGAGCAGGTTTATATATATATATCTTCCTGTTCATTCAGGAACATACCAATTGTACAAGCATTGCGTTTGTAAGCCTGGTCAGAAGCTATCAGCAGAAACAAACTCACCTGGCAGTCATAGTGTTGTGCCATATACTAGCTCGGCAGCAAGATGACCAGCATCAGTTTTCAGGTAATTTCGTTCGCTTAAGAGAACTGACGGTATTGATTCTATCCAATATACATTGTTCGCAGCCGATAGCCCGGCCTTCAACTGTCAGTGTAGAAGTTATAACATACCATTGGCCTGAAGATGGTGTGCCGTTGCTCAGAAATGCACACAACCAAGGATTTTAGTCAAGGCAAAGAATAAGCTGCCTTCAAATTGCCTCTCGTGATCAGCTGTTATGGGGGATGAGCATCCAAAACTTGCGATCAAACGTTCCACACAGACGTGTGTGACTGTTTCAGCATATTCATCCGTAAAAGGTACTGATTCAGGCCACCGTGTAAAATGGTCGTTGCAGGTCGAAATATAGGCATATCCATGAGATTATAGAAAAGGTTCAACCAGATTTAACTGGACGTGTTCAAAAGCAGCATCTGGAATGAAAAAGGTGCTAAGGGGGCTTCCAGTGTGTCTTGCTACCATGTACTTTTGGCAAGCAAGCATATATGAGCGCTTTCTTTACATTTTATTAATAAAGACTGGTTATGGGCTTGACGGAGGTTCGAATACCTGGGTGAGATGAGCCATGCAACGTTTTCAAGACGAAGCCGCGATAACTTTTAGACACTATGGGACTAGGAGTACTGTTAATGTAGTTGATGATTGAACGATCAATTCATGGTTGTTTGCTCAAAACCAACTTCCACAATTTTTCGCGGAGGCATCAATACACCAGTCATCGTCTCATCGGTCGCTGTTCAGAAAGTAAGTACAAAACCGCCAGAAACCTTAGTTATAAAGTTGGCTATATGTTGGTATTAGAATAATGAATTCTCGAGTCGCCAATTGTTGTTTCGGTTTTTGCGTCCGTTATTACTAAGCGTTTCTGAGAAACTTCAAGGAACAGCGTGAGCCCGAGTGCAGCAAGAGCTGGGTATTAACGGTTTATGAGACGCGGCTGACAGTTTCTGACAGTACAACGTCAGTTTTTAAACGGTTTTGGGCAGTTGGCACGACTTTGGATAGTCACCGTTCATCTTTCCTGGTGCCGGTCAAGTCCTCTTTGAACAAGCAATATCTGGAACGTTTTTGGAATTGGGTCAAGTTCAACAATGCCCGGGTCAAAGAAGGGACAGAGCGTCTTGGATGCAAACACGAAAGTAAGTCATGGTGACTTGTCTGTTACTTGTAACGATGTGTCTGATGTTAAGCATGACATGGTTGATGTTACTGTTTCGCCGTTCAGGGATAATAGGAACATCAAACTCCCTAAATTTGAACCACGGTGTTTTGATGGAAACCCAGCTGATTATTTACAATTTGTAAAGGAGTTTGAGATCATGCTGAGTAGTTTTCTATTAAGTGATGAATTGAAGTTAATGTATTTGATGAGGTATTGCACTGGAATTGCTTCAAGAGCTATACAGTGCTGTAAGTTTATGAAGCCGAAAGAGGACTACTACGGGGCTATGAGCATACTACGTCAAAGGTTTGGAAGAACTTCAATGATTGCAAGGAACGTATTTGAAACTGTCAAAGGTAACCGTAGTCAACTACAAGATGACTCCAAGGCACTCACTGAGTTTTTGGATAATCTGATGGCTTACAAACATGCCTTGACTTCGATGAATTGCATGAGTGACCTCAACTCGAGTTTTATACTAGAAGTGATAGCAAGACGCCTACCTACTCTACTGCAAAGGAAGTGGGTGAAGATAAGCTCCCATATGGAGGATGACTGTATCGAGCCAAAGTTCGATGACATTCTGAAACTGGTAAACAATAGTGTCAATCAATCTATGAGCAAGTTTGCCAGTATATTGCATCTCACCCCTAGAATAGAGCAGTCTGAGGGCAAAACGGAATCATTGATGACGAATAGGCCTCAGAGAGGTGGATATCGAGAAGGCTCCATGATGTCTAGTAATGCATATAGACCTAGTGAGTGTAATTTTTTTATTTTTATTTTTTATTTTTTTTAATTTTATTTTTGATTACAGCTTGATTCCACACCGTATTTTTAATACAAGTATGGAATTTTCAGCATGGATATCGGTAGCCCAAAATTCGCAGGCCGGCCATAGATGTCAGGTGTGCGTCGGCGTGGGCTCGAACCCCGGACCATGTGCATGGTCGGCGAGAGTCCTAACCACTGTGCCACCGACGCACAGGTTTCGTAGTACATCCTCAACAGATAAGTTACAAGCTGCAAGACAAACACGGTTGTGTTTTACACGTTTGCAAGAGGTGCATAAAAAGGTGAACTGTGAACCAGTGAGCAAGTTCAGTGGTAAGCTAAATGTGAAATCAAGGTCTGACTCCGAATTGTGTGACGATAACGGTGTGGTCAAGAAGCCTGTAGTTGCAACTGGTAAGCCATTGTTTAACAGAGTGTCACAGAGGAGAATTACAGTTTCAGAGTACAGTTCTGACTCCACAAGTTTACAAGGTATTACTAGTCAGAGTGAAGGTATAAAATCTTTAAGGATTTGTGAGGAAGAACCGAAATTGTCTGTCACTGTTATTAAAGAGTTTGAAAATGAGGAAATTGCCGGTCAAGTGAATATTTGTGATAATGATAATGATAGTGCAGATTTGTCTTTGGTTGATCATGATGAAATGGGGGGAATGCCTTCTAATTCTGAGTTGAATAAAGGTTCTGTACAACTGTAACGTGAAGTAGAATTGGATGCATTTGCAGAAGGTATGGATGCTTGTGAGACCGTCAGTGAAAGTGATCAGCATGTAACCCACCTATCATCAGATGATAGTGCTAAACTCGAACTAGTAGTGAAAGACAGAAGTGGTGGTAGTCTTGCAGTTAGACAACTTTCTGAAAGCCGAAAAACAACAGCTTCTGATCCACCGCCAACTTCATCAACTGGTATCAATCAGTCGTCGTTTGTGTTGTCATCCACAATGAAACAGACGCCCATCAACTCAAGTATCTTGTGCAATGACTATAATAGTATTGGCGCGTTTCAAAAGACGAAAGATATTGCTCAGTTTCGTGAGGATGAGCC